TGACGTCTTGATTTTGCATGCATAGGATAGAAATCAAGCTCGACCTGAAAATCAAACGTATAATTGCTTGGTAATTATGAAAAATCTGTATGTATAATTGTGCTGCATTATTAATGTCAATACATAAAACAATATATAGAACATCTAGTTAGGTTTTATATTAAAATTAACATGTTTATGAACTTTTGATCCGAGTATTTATGGCAGGAATAATCTTTGATCATAAATGACAATTAAGCTCAAGCTTAATTGAAATATTGTCAAACTGAGCTTGAGCCGAGTTTGATTGAACTATTAATTGAACTCAAGCATGGCTTGGTGCCAGTCCTACTCTATATATAAAGTATTTGCCTGAGGCATTGTGATATTAAGGGGAAATAGTTCTCTCCGCATTTGGTCATTAATGCATTTTCCTCGCATTACCTTAATCATAATATTAATTGTTCTTCCAGAGTATCGGGAGCCTGTGAAAATATAAATATTTTTTGTAGCTGTGGTGATTCAGAGTCTCAGTCATGCCTATACGAGGAATCTCTTCCTGGTAAGTCAATTAAACTGACATTCTGATTTAGTGCCATATATTAGCTAGTCTGATGTATATTAAACAAGTTGAATGTGCATCTGGTACTGTAATAATCGTGAGAGATTTTTGTTTAAGGCTTGAAAAGTGTCCCTGGTTTGAAAAGAAAGCTGCCAGCTCTTGAAGATGATGAGATGGAGTTTTCTGAAACCATTAATTCCCCACTGAATTCAAAAAGAAGTAGGGTGCTTATTCACAAAGCAGGTAACTGCGGAGAGAATCCACCTGATAACCTTGCTGAAGATTGCATGGAAATCGTTAAGAATGGTAGTCCCTTGTGCTCTTCCAAATCCCCATGTGCAGTTGAAGGCTGTCTGTCCAAGGGCTTTGCTGGATTATTCTTTACCCGCTCCTATTTGCAATTTGGCTGAGAAAGAAGAGTTCCTTGTACCTAAAGCTCCCACCGGAGTTGCAAATATAGAAAGAGAGAATCCCTTGTGAGTCTAAGATTTGTTGCTTGCTCCAATGCCCCCACAATTTTTAATATTTGTGGGTATTTGAAGAAAAAAAAATTTCAATGTTTGTGGGAATACCTTATCTTTGTGGGACATTCATGGAACCATGGCCA